GGTTAAGGTATTCCTAAGGTCACACAAGCATTTCATACATTGGTTACACATAATACTTCTCAGGTCAACAAGCATATCATCACTCAGGAGCTTAATTAGACAAAGTGATCTACATGAACATTGTTTCATTAGTCATCCTAAGTGTAGCTAAGGTGCTTTAGTGACCAACATCAACCATTTACACTTATTCACACATGATCATAAGCATACACGTATCGAAACATAAAATAACAAGGCATGTTTCACATATTTCAGTTGTATGTTTCATATGTAAAAGCTTATATGTGAATGCTTGATGATTATGCTCATGCAATGCAAGTAAAATTATACAAGTCTAACACCTAGGGTGTTACAACGATAGCACAATATAGCCAACCATGATCAAGTTATCGCCTATGGCTCACAGGTGACAGGAAATCACCCGACTTCTACTGGTCTAAGCATAGCTAATCATAAGGAGCGTTCCTAGACTTAAATAGGATTCAGGGTAGATATTTCTGACAAGGAAAGGTAATATGCAGCAAGTGTTCCCAAACAACTCCTATCATGTAATGCATCAATACGAGTAACTTAGGTGACATTAATAAAATAGGAAGACGTATAATGCCTCGGGGCTTGCCTTTCACGAAAGTGGTAGGCTGATGATCCAGGCACTCGGAACAATGATCAGCTTCAGGCTCTCCTTCTCTAGGAATCTCCTGGTGCTGCACCTCTTGGCTCTCCTCTTGTGGATCGGCTTCGAGTTCCACCAACGTGATCTCTTCAGCTGCACCAATTGTATGCATATGCATAAGTAAGTTCCATGAATGCATAAGAAGGATCATGGATGATGTGACATGGAAACGTACATGATGCTGTGATAATGATGTTAAGTTACTTAAATGATAACAATGTTAATTTCTTGTTTACTGAGTAGGTGCATAACTCTTCTCTATCCATTTCCAATATTCTTCACAAGACAATTTCTGATCTACGCATAGCAGTTACAAGTTTAAATCATAACTATAGTTCTACCTATACAAATACTGTGATCTTGGACTTTCTGGAAAGCCTATAAAATTTTCTACAACTCTTATTTAATCACCAAAAGCTAATTCAAACTCTATCCTAACCAAAATAGGCAATATTTCTAGCTCTATCCAGAAATTCCAGAGAACAAGCATTTCGGAAGACCAACTTCAAATGGCTATAACTCCTAAACCATTTGCCCTATGGCTCTAAAATTTTGACACAAGATAGATGAAGAAGTTTCCTATGACTTTGTTATTAACTATTTTTATAGTAAACTTCATTTTGATTATGCAAAATACCCAACAAAAGAATCTATCCAGAAACGCCTCTAAAATTGAATTATAGAGCAATAATATTTTCACGGCATATAAAAATCTCAAATTGAGCAACACCATTGGTACCAACAGTTTAGGAATTCAAATACACTCCAAAAAACATAATGGTCAAGCCCAATTTATTTATTTAAATGCCTTTATTAATTTAATTAGATAATTAGGTGAAATAACAAACATATACCAAATGTGTACAGTAAATTCAAAGAAAATTACAGTGGCTCCTTAGTGCTCCCAATAGACTACAGTATAAATTTCATACCATTTGAACATGTATAGCATCCTCTACAAAAATGACAAGCTAGCCAGGTTTATTTTAGTGAAAATAATTACCCCCATTGAAAAGTGTCCAGCAATAGATTTTATATTTTTATTAGCTTCATCCTAGTACCATAACACTGTACAAAAATTTGCATGGCAATATATTACTTATTTTTATCCATATGAATTTCCTCAGAAAACACCACTTATTAAAAGATAAATAGAAAGACCCTACTCCAATCAAGATTACTACCAGTTTAGTATTTTTCCTAGCTACAACATGTCAATACAAACTCAACAAAATTGGAATCATAATTTTTGCACATACCAAGCTCAAGTTATCCATTTTTTTAAGATAGAAACCATTTAAAAAGCATTTATCTAGCTACATTTTATTCACCTTGAAAACTACAAGAAACAATGTATTTCATATTTTTATAAAGGGAATTTTTGCCACAGGACATCACGAAAATGCATATTTTGCTGCAACACACCGCCAACGCCATCGTTTGCTGAGTACCATTATGAATTCGATTATCTTTGCCACAGCACACCGCGACCATTATTTTAATGATTTCTAGAGTTTGGAAGAGAGAAACCTTCTAAAATGACATCAGATGCCCCTGTGGACCGGCATTGGTCGACCAGACCCGACTTGGTGGAGCCAGACCAGGTTTGAGCCGGACCCGACTAGGTCGAGCCAAACCCTAGCCAAACCAGGTCAACGCTGTCGCAGCTCGTCTTCTCCACTCTCCCTTCCGCCGTCACCACTCTCCCTCGCCGCCGTCACCTCCCTCACGGCCTCACCGCCACTCTCCGTCGCCACCCGTAGCTGCTACCCTCGCCGCGCCCCTTGCCGCCACCCCCGACTCCACCCTCGCCATCGTAGCCGTCGTGCCATTACATGGATGCGTGAAGATGGCTTCGCCGGTGCAACAGAAGCGTCTCCGCCCGAGCATCGATTCACCGTCGAAGGGGGTGAATCTGTCATGGGTTCCTGACGGGTATGCACTTTCCCCTCTTCCACCAATTGTTTGTTGTTCTTGTCTTGCAATGAAATCGAGGACGATTTAGTTAGGGTTTTCACGAATTCTTGTTCTTGTCCACTCTTTTAAGGATGGACATTAGTTCTGCAATACGGATAGCGGTGCGTGTCCCAGCTTACTATGAGGTTTGCGATGACGGTAGGCACGTTGGTCACAGTGCAACAGATTTTTAGCTAATTCGGGATAGGGACACTCTTAATCTCAAGGATTTAACTGCGGATGTATCTAAAAGAGTGTGTCCTGGGAAGAATCAGGGGTTCAATTTGTGTTTTTTAACAAGCACAAGCAAAGTTATACCAGTCTAACCTCTGATTCAACTTTGATGAATGCTACTGAGAACTATTGGGAGCTAAGGAGGCTACCTTTGTTTGTGAGTTTCTATGATACAGTTCCTGTTTCATTTAGTCAGAGTGTGTCTTTGGATAATGAGGCATGTGCTACTGTTGAGTCTCTCAGCGAGGAAGTGAGTGATTCAGACACAGCTGACTCAACTAACTCTGGTGAATTAACTAAGAAATCCATACCTGCTCAAGGAAGAAAGGGAAGAGGCAAGAAGCCTGCTGATGATGATGTGGCATGGGAAGAAGATGATGAGGAGTATGTTGGGATCAATGATGAGAACCAATATATGGCAGACCAACAAGATGACCAAGAAGGAGCTGCTGACTCTGACTCTTTTGTTCATGATGATTTGTTAGTTGATGATGAAGCTGGTTGTGAGACTTCTGAGCATGTTACTAACTTAGAGAACCCAACTATAGCTTGTGGTGTCACATTTGAGGATGGGGACACCTTTAAGAGGGCTATTAGATAGTATGCTGTTCTAAAAGAATTTGAAATTGCAGCTCATTATAGTGAAGCCAAAAGGTATAGAGGGCACTGCAAAGGATACAAGAGCAAGAAGAAAAGGTGCAAGTGGAGGATACATGCTTCTCAATTGCAGGATGGGAAAACTTGGCAGGTCTGTTCTCAATTGCAAGTGGAGGATACATTTTTCAAAGCTAATATTTACTTATTCATGATGTTTAATGATGTATACTTATTGATGATGTTTGTTGATGATCATGATGTTTACTTATTGATGTCTACTTGTTGTTGGCAGATAAAGAAGATGTATCAGAAACATACTTGTGCTACCATAGCAAATCTGGAAAAAAACTGCATGGCTAACAATCACTGGGTGAGGGACAGGGTTATTAACATCCTGAGGCATGACCCAACAGCTAGAGCTTCCCAAATGAAGAAGGATTTGGAGAAAAAGTACAACATCACACTTTCATACTATGTTGTTTGGGATGGAATGGCAATGGCTCTGGAAGAGCTTCAAGGCAAGTGGGATGACAGCTTTGAAGATGTTTTCAGATTCAAGGCTGAGGTGGAGAGGACAAATCCAGGAAGCATTGTGGACAGTGAGTGGGCTCTGGTTGGGAAGAAGATGAGGTTCACAAGGATGTTTGTGGCATTCAACATCTGTGTTCAAGGTTTTTTGAATTGATGCAGACCCTTCATTGGTGTGGACTCAAGCCACCTAACTGGGAGATGGAGAGGGCAACTAGCTTCTGCTTCTGCTGTGGATGGACATAACTGGCTTTTTCCAGTAGCATATGGTGTATTTGAGTCAGAATCTGCTGACAACTGGTAGTGGTTTTTTGAGAAACTAAAAGTTGCCATTGGATCTCCTCCAGGCCTAGTGATCTGCACAGATGTAGGGAAAGGTATAGATAAGGGAGTTGCCTCTGTCTTCTCAGATGGAGTAGAACATAGGGAGTGCATGAGACATCTAGTGAAGAATTTCAACAAGAGGTATAGAGGTGCAGTGTTCAAGAAGCACTTGTGGCCAGCCAGCAGGGCTTACAACCAAAGACACTTTGATCGCCATTACAACATCATGAAGGCTGCATCACCAAGAGCAATGCAATGGATAGAGGACAACCACAAGCACTTGTGGTGTAGATGGAGGTTCTCCCATGCATGCAAATGTGACTATGTTACTAACAACATAGCAGAGACTTTCAACAGTTGGATTAGGAATAAAAAGTCACTTGCCTTAGTTCCTCTGTTGGATAGGATTAGGCAAATGATCATGGAGAAGCAAGATATCAGAAGGGCATTGTCACTGAGGTTGACAGACAAGATCTTGCCTCAAGTCACCAAAGAACTTCATGCTATGAGTAGAAACTTGCAGTATGTCATACATAGGGGGCCCAACAACACTGCAGAGATTCAAGGTACTACTAAAGAATTGAAAACTTGGAGGCATACTGTAGATCTTGAGAGCAGAACATGTAGCTGTCAAAGGTGGCAGATTTCTGGATTGCCATGTACTCATGCTCTCTGTCTCATCCATTCAATGCGCAATAGAAGTGTTGAGGACTATGTGGATGACTACTTTTCAGTTGATAAGTTCAAGAAGGCATATGAACATGTGATCAAGCCCATGACCGATAGGAATCAATGGCCTAAAGTAGATATGGGTTTCAAACTTTGGCCCCCATTGTTGAAGAGAGCTGCAGGCCGTCCAAGAACTAGGAGGATCAAAGGTGTTGAAGAAGGTGGAAAGTCAACTTCCCAGAGACAGTGCAAGAGGTGTGGTCAGTTTGGTCACATGATGAAGACATGCAATGAGACTGTGTATGACTCTGATGCACCACCACCAGCAAAGAGACCAAGGACAAAGAAGACCACTGCTGCAGCAACAACTGTATCCACCCAACAATCACAAATTGAAGGTGCACCACCAGCTCTGACTAACAGCCCAGCTCTGACTAACAGCCCAGCCCTGTCTCAAGAAATCAGTGTTGCACCACCAGCTCTGACTAACAGCCCAGCAGCAAACACTAGGAGGTATTTAATATCTGTCTTGAAATAGCCCAGCATTGTCACTTGTTTCCTCACCTTTTCCTGTCATTCCTATTGTTTTATGTGTCTAATAGTCGCAAGAGGGCATTGGAGTATGCTGCTGAAACTCCCCCCCCCAACAGCTGACATGAGGCAGAAAAAAGAATGAAGAAGGACCTGAGCAAGAAGACAACCAAGGCAAGCAAAGTGAGCAAGACCACCAAGAAAAAGAAGTCTGAGAGTATGGAAACAAGCAAGACAGTGGTTGTTTCAGAAGAGATGACCAACAAGAGGATCAACAAGAAGAAGTTGATCATAGACATGTGATGACAAAATTTATTAGTTGTTATGTAATGAAACTGTTGTGTCATGAACCTAGTGTGTACTGAACCTAGGGTCGGCAGACTATGTTTCCCTTTTGCGCTTAAAGTCACAGCTTATGGCTGCTGTGTTATGAACACTGATATGTAAGCTTGTTATGAAGGCTAGACTTTATTGGCATGCTGACTTTATTATGTGTTATGCCAATTTATCTTAATTCCTGAGTGTGATACAATTATGTGTTATCCCAGTTCAAAAATGAGTGTGACACAATTCTGTTGCAAGAAGATGCAAGATAAGATGCTGGATACATGATTACATACTGATACATGATAAGGTTCATAAATTGAGTCTTTGAAATAAGCTGCTGATAGCTTGATACATGATAAGCTGTTGTTATGCATCACTTAACCAACAACACTAACAAAACTAAAACTAAAATAAACACCTTTACAGCACCAACTACAAGCAATCTCTCTCCAATCTTATCCATCTTTGTCATCAATTTGCTATTGCTATCAACTAATGCCTTAAGCAGTGCCTCTGAATCTTTGAGATGAATGACTGCATTCTCCATCAGTTCTTGGCAGGCATCAACACCTTGGCAGGCCTTCAACATGTCCTTGCCATCCTTCATCACCTCCAGACCCATGCCATCACGACCTCTAAGCTGACTGAAATGGCGAGGAAGAACACCTTTGGAGACCAACAAAGGGACATAGTGTTCTTCAAAGTAGTATGTGCGACAGGCATAATCGGTCTGCAAACCAGAGATGAAAAAATCAACAAAAAAACGCATCCAAAAAAGAGATGCAATTCCACCACAACTTACATGCTCCAACAGTGGACACTTGTAGAACTGCTTCCCCTTGCTGCCCTCCTTATGTGAAACGCGACCGATGCGAAGGGTTCCGCACTTGGAGCAAGGTACCAATGGCAAGAATCCTGCTTCATCTCTGTAGGGCTCGAGCTCTAGAATGCGAAGTTCATCTCTGTAGGCCGAGTGCGATGCTCCGAACGGCGTGGATTGCGAGCTCGAAGCCATGGGGATCTAGGGTTCTTGCATAGGGGAACGGGACGGCGCCAGTAGAGGAAGAAAAAGGGAGGCGGCGGTAGGAGGGAGACGACCGGGCCGACTTTACCTGGTCCAACCAGACCAGCAATGCGCAGGGGCAAAATTGTCTCCTCACTGCGGTTTCTCTCTCCCAAACTCTAGAAATCATTAAAATAATGATCGCGGTGTGCTGTGGCAAACATAATCGAATTCATAATGGTACTCAGCAAACGATGGTGTTGGCGGTGTGTTGCAGCAAAATATGCGTTTTTGTGATGTCCTGTGGCAAAAATTCCCTTTTATAAAATACTACACTTCATGAAGAATCCAACAAAATTTGGTTCATTACAATTGGACACTCCAAACTTGAGATATGAATTTTTGAAACATGCATTGAAATCCAGAAAAAATAAATCAGAAATTCAAATCACACAGACTAACAGCTGGGGCCCACGTGTCATCGGCACAAGGCAGAGCACCGGTGTCGACCGGTCGAAGTTCGCCGACGGTGAGCTCTCCGATGACGGCACCGGCACCATTAGACACCTCACGACCTTCCGTACGCAAAGGGGTAGATGGTTGGCGCTGATTACGGAAGTCAAGGGCGACGGCAGTGCTAATGGTGGCATGGCGAACGGGGACGATGGTGCGACGCCGAAGTTGGCCAGGATGGTGAAATTAGGGTTCTGCCGAGCTTCTACACCCTACGGCGAACTTGGTGCACTCGCAAGGACGATGAATGGTGGTCGGGGGTGACCAGGCCACGTGCGGTGTGGCATAGCGGCGAGAACGACGGCGATGGCCACGGCAACAACATAGGGGCCTTACCGTGCACTGCTAGCTACACAAAGGGGTTCGACAAGGTGGTGGGAACACAGCGGAACTACAGCGATGGCGAGAGAGCAGTGCGAGCGTGGTGAGGTGCCGAGCGGCCAGCAATGGCATCGGCGGCTCAGTGCCTAAGTTGCACGCGCGAGAGGGAGCAGCAGAGAGAGAGAACGCAAATGAGAGAGGGAAACGAGCAGCGTGGTGTCATGATTTTCACTCGCCACCCGGCCGCGATGGGGGCCCAACGTCGTCCTACGGCGGCCACACGGCGGTCACATGCTGCGCTCTGTCGGCCACTCACGGCGAGCAGAAGCTCTGAATCGAGCGATTGAAGGTGACTGACCGCGCGATTTCAAGCGATCAATAATCCTGATCCGTGCAGTGATTTGCTAAACCAAAAGCACTACGTGATAGATCTAAGTGAGTACTACAACTTTTCCAATACCAACTTAGCCTAGATCGCCACGGATTTCAAACTATAATGCGCCAAACTAGGGTACTTGAAACTGTAAACACAGTTTAGACTTCGAAAAAAATTTAAGTCTTCAAAATAGAACCGCATTGATTTTTTGTGAGCGCAATTTTAACATGTTAAGCACTGTATTAGACCTTGACCCAAAAATAAAAGTTGTCACACTAATTGAGTTCTACAACTTTGTTTTAGGGTGCTCAGCCATGCAAAGTCTCTATAGTGATGTTCAACACCAGTCAAACATGCAACTTGAAATTGATGGTTACACTATAACTATGACTTAGAGACCAAACTAGTCCTAGTCGTGAATACCAAAGTTGTTCCAAATGACATTCTAAGCATGTTAAAAGTACTCCTAGGGTCCCACACACATTTTATACATTGGTTATATGTAAACACTAGCATATGTAAAGGATTTAGTGACAAACACATGTGCTATAAGCAATCATAGAGATAAAATTTGAGATGCTCATGCTCATGAATGATCAATGATGCTGGTGCTCATGTAATGCCAATGCCTAATGCATGCTTAACACCAAGGGTGTTACACAGGGGGCCACAAAGCCAACGACGCCTCTGAAGGGTGCGACGACCGCGCCCGCTTTGCCTCCCATTTCCTTGACTTAGGAGCGTCACCGCGAGTCTCCGTACCGCGCCCGCCGCTGATAGGCGCAGCCACAGGAGCGCGGCGCTCCACTAAGGTCATGGTAGCACCCTCGTCTCCCTAGTCCTCCAAGGAACCCACATCGTCGCCTGACTCTATGGGGTCCTCTGACTCAAGCTCCTCCTCCACTTCCTCCCGACGCTCGCCACCGCAAAGCCACCGATTGATATCCTTCTCCTTCTCAAACCTCCTTTGGACCTTCTCGATTTTCTTTTTCTTCTTTGCAAGCACGACCTCCCTCTGGGTGGCTTGCCGAGCTGTGCCTTCTGCCCCTCTCGAAAGATGTGGCCGAGATTTATACCCCGCGAGCCACTCAAGCTCCTCCTCCACTTCCTCCCGACGCTCGCCACCGATTGATATCCTTCTCCTTCTCAAACCTCCTTTAGACCTTCTTGGTTTTCTTTTTCTTCTTCGCAAGCACGACCTCCCTCTAGGCGGCTTGCCGAGCTGTGCCTTCCGCCCCTCTCGAAATATGTGGCTGAGATTTATACCCCGCGAGCCCCTGTGAAACAGGTGGCTTAAAATCGATCTAAAGATCAAAACAGAAAGGAAAAAGGTCATGGGAAAGGAGTATACCAGATTGGACAGCTTCGCTGCATGGAGAGGACCAGGCATCCCTTCGAGGGACTCATCATCCCCCAACTATAGCATCCGATCAAGACAACTCCAGACTTCATCCCTTGACAACTCCTCTGGCGATGCACGGTCGGGATCCATTAGGTCGGAGTATTCCCACATCGGCCGCGTTCTGTCCACCAATGGGGCAACCCGATGGCAGAAGAAGGTATGGAAGACCTGCAACCCATCAAGGCCATTCCGCATGAGCCTCCAAAGCTCCATCTCGATGATCTCCAGCTTGTTTTGTTGACGGGTAGGACCCGATGACCAGCTTTCCCTCCTCTCCGACCTCTGCCCGGTGAATGTCGGGAATGGCGCCACCACCGGGTTCCTGATGTAGAACCACTCGTCGTGCCATCCCCGGTTGGAGTCACTGGGGGAGTACGTCGGGTAGGGGACCGACGGCTTAGGCCGCTTCTACAGGGCGAACCCACCGACCGGAGCGATTTTGGGCGGTTTCCCCTCGGACAGGGCCCACCCCCTAAAGATCCGTCGAAAGAGGTCCACGCGTGGCTCCATCCCAAAGAAGGCCTCATAGACGCTGATGAAGCCCACGATGTGTAGCACCCTAGTCAGGTTGAGGTGCTGCAACTCTAGGCCCCACTTGTTTAGGAGCCCGCACAGGAACCAGTGCACGGGGTACCCGAGCCTGCACTCATGGAAGGCATGGAAGGAGACGACCTCGTTGGCCCGGGGTTGTGGAACAACCTCCCCCAGTGTAGGAGCCCTCCAATACACCACTTCCTTTGACAGGAGCAGCCCCTTCTCGGTGAAGGTGGCCAGCACCTCCTCATCCACGTTGGAAGGCCTCTAGTTCAACATCGCACCATGGATCTACGAGCGGATCTATAAGTTTTTCCTCTCCCTCGCTCTGCCCTTCTCTCTCCTAGAAACCACCAAGGCACATGAACAGGCTTGGCAAAAAGAAGGAAGGAGAAATGGCAGTGGTTGAAGAAAGGCGAAAGAACGGGAGGAAAACCCTCTCCCTTCCCCCTATTTAATGCAGAAAGGCGTGCGGTAGGACGTGGCCCTAGCTGATGGGACGCGGCCTGCCCGACGGGACGTCACCTGGCT